GGGGGGAGAGAGAGAGAGAGAGAGAGAGAGAGGAATGATCTTTATATTGCAGTAAACTGGACTTTACCAGCCACAAACCAAGGAATACCAAGAGTCTTCAGAGGGAACATGGTTCTGTCAACACCTAGACAGTTTAACTTATAGAACTCATAGAAAATATATTTCTATTGTTTTAAGCTCCCAATTTGTGGTAATTTGTTACAGTAGCCCTAGAAAACTGAAACACACTTCTATAATCTATATCAACAATAGATCCAAGAGTAATCTATTTTTTTGAAACAGAGTCCTGTATATCCTAGACTGACCTCAAACTAATTATTTAGCCAAGGGTGGCCTTAAAGTCCTGATTATCCTGCTTCTACTTCTTGAGTGCTGGCATTACAGGTGTACACCACCATGCCCTATTTATGCAGTGCTGGGGATTGAACCCCAAACTTCTTGCCAGTCAAGCACTGAATCAACCAGGTTACAGTCCCAAACCCATAGAGCAATCTTTTTAAAGGTAATCTGGAGCCCTTCTCTGCAAGTTAGTAAGCACCAGCCTATCCTGTTTCTGCTGGCCCACTAAGCTGCCAGAGAATACCTGACTTGCTGAGACAAGTGGACCTTTCACCACCACCCCCAATCAAAGAAGCTTCTTTTTGCAACAGATGGAAACACAGAGAACAAGTGTCTGTGAGATGCTTAGCCCTAAGTGACACATCTTCAATGCAATGTCTACACATAGGATGAATGCATCTCTCAACTCTCAAGAGAAGTTTCCTTATGCAGAAGATGGAAATTAACACAGAAATCAACAATTGGCCAATGTGCAGAGAACAAGAGGCTGCAGAGTTCTTATCCCTGAATAGGACACTTATTTCAAACTTCTGCCTCCCAAGGCTCAGGGAGCATTGTGGAAGAGGGGGCAGAAAGTGGAAGAGGAGCCAGAGGTAGTAAATGAGCACAAGAAAACAGAGTCTTCCAGACAGCTGGACAGTTATACATACGAACTCACAGCAATAATGATAGCATGCACAAATCCCATGGAAACTCAAACCAGAAAAAAATCTCTGCATATATATGGGGAAGTAGGTAAAAAATCCCAACCCAACCTAAGGAACTTTTGGCAACTGAGAGGGGGAGAGACAATATCTTACAGGGATGAGAATGTTGGTGGGCCCAGTAGATGGCCCACACTGAAGGACATTTAGGGAAACAAATCAGACTCTATGGGAGATATATATATAATATATTGCAGATATGGGAGAGGATCTAAATATGATCAAATCATATTGGATGCAATTCACAAAAATTCAATTAAATAAAATTAAAAAAGAAATGTATATAAAAAAATTTAAAAGGTAATCTGATCTTATTGGTTGCTTGTACAGTCTAAAACCTCCAAGTCCATCTCTGTCAAAGTCCTTCCAGCTGCTAATAAACTGATTTTGATTTCCTCATCCTCCCAACGCTCGCCACCCTGGTTTTGAGCAAGCTAAGCATGCTCCCACAGTAAGGTCTTTGCTCTTCCTGGACAGCTATTCTGCTAGTCACAGGGCTCCTCCCTCAGTCACTTCCCTCTTTGCTCACTTCTCAGTGAAGTATACCTTGACTATCTTGCTTAAAACTTCAATCAACCAATCTTGGGGCTGTAGAGATGGCTCAGCGGTTAAGAACACTGACTGTTGTTACAGAAGACAGGTTCAAATCCCAGCACCCACATGGCAGCTAACAACTGTCTATAATGCCAGTTCCAGGGATCTGACAGCCTCTTCTGTCTTCCACAGGCATTACATGACATGGGTGCACTTACCTACATGCATGTACAACACTCATACACAAAAGATAAAAATAATAAATAAAATATTTTTTAAACTGCAATCAACCAATCTCTTCACTACCAAAGCTCTTTATCCAGCTCTGTTTTTCCGTACATTAGACCCTACTCATATGCCATACAATTTACCAATCTATTATGTCTTTTTACAAAGCTGAAATGTAAGTTTCACAGGGAAGGGATTTCTTTCTTGACCATTAAAGACAATAGAAGGCACTCAGTAAATATTTGTTGACTGGGTGGATGAAAATGAATGAAAACTGTGTTGGGGAAAAACTGATTTCTTAACAAAAGGCATCTTTTAAGTGCAGATAATTCTCTTCCCAGTGGTTTGTGAAGTCTGACTTCCTTGATCAAGTTATTTTCAGACCATAGCTCCCAAATCCAATTTAAGCTGGGATCTTACCAAATCAATTAAATGAAGATTAAATTAGAAAATGCATTTAAATTTAGATAACACTGCTCTAGACTAGATAGGTACTTAATAAATTATTTCTCCTCTCCTTTGCAATAAGTAGAGGATTTTAATATCCTGAAGGAGTGGGTTGGGAATTTCCTTCCATGAGTCATATAAATCTAGAGACAGAAACAAATCATCTGAGGACCCATATACCTGCTTCCAGATTTGTTCCAGATTTGTAGGTAAGCAATGACATAGCAACACGGTGACCTGATGGAGCAGCAGTGCTAGAGGTGAATGAAAAATACCTGGCCTTCTACAGCCAATGAACCCATTTCCCTTTGGGCAGTATTTCAACTACTGATGCCCTTGTACTTGCTCCTCAGTACCCTCTAGCATTATGTGCTTAACAAGTACCATACAAACATCAGAAGATTCAGAGGAAAGAAAAGCTGCTTGTGGTCATTATTACATACTTTCAGGCTAATAATCTTAGGGACTTACCTTTTCTAGGTGGCAATGAAGTCACTTGGCAATGTCTTTTCTTAGCGGAAAAGATCATATTTTTTCAATATATTTTTAATTGCATATATGTGCATGTCCGTGGGTGCAGGTGCTTGAGGAAGCCAGAGGTGTCAGATCCCCTAGGAGCTAGGATTACAGGTGGTTGTGATCCACCTGATGTGGATGCTGGGGGTTGGACTCAGGTCCTCAGGAAGAGCAATACATGCTTTTAACTGCTGAGCAATCTCTGCAGCCCAACATATTTCTTAAAGCAGAACCTGGACGCTAATATCTGCTCCTCCTCAGTCTTCTCTATTCTTCCTACGTTGTATTGAAATCATGAATGATTCCATGAAAATCTTCAGTGTATGGCTATAATGTTAGTAAAGCACAAACTATATCCCATAAGCTCTAAAAGAAGTAGGTCAATAACACATATGACGTTTTCTAGGGAGGGACTGAAGAGGGCTCAGTGGGTAAGGTGCTTGCTGAGACAGCACCAGGAGCTAAGTTTGGATCCCCAGCACCCATGTAAGAGCCAGACATGACAGAGTGCCTCTATAACCCCAGCACTGAAGAGCAGAGACAGGCAGATCCCAGGAACTCACTGACTAGCCAGTCTAGCCAAAAGAGCAGCTCCAGGTTCAGAGAAGACACCGTCTCTCTATGCTGGGTGGAGAAACAATTGAGGAAGTCATCCCAACTCCAAACACTGTCTTCTACATGTACCTGCATGGGCAAGTACACCCATGGGAAAGCGCAAGCACACACACACACACACACACACACACACATACACACACACACTCCGGAAAAAAGGAAAATTTCTAGGAAATCAGAAATTGCAAACGGGAAAGGACCACTATTCTTATGTACACGCTATCTTGTTTTATCCCCTCAGGAGATAGATAAATGTTGCCATTTCTGTAGATGAGAAAATACTGGACAACATATGTTCAGAAAATGCTACTTGAGCACTGTTACTTTTCCAGGTCTGTCCTACAAATTCCCACAAACTTAGTAGCTTAAAGCAACAGAAACTGATCCTCTTACTCTTCTAGAGACCAGAAGTCTGAAATCCAAAAATAAGTCCAAGTCCTGAGACGGTTCTGTCGCAACAGAATCATTCATTCATTTTCATTCATTCATTCAACAAGTATTTACGGAATGACTTCTATGCATTAGCAGGATTTGAAGCCTCTGGAAGGTCTAGGAAGAATCCTTCCTTGCATCTCTCCTAATCACTGAGGACCGCAAGAAACCCTTGGTGTTCCTTGGTTCACAGATCTACTGTCCCAATAGCTGCCTTCGTCTTCCTCTGGCCTTCCCCTTTGTGTGTGGCTCTGTATGTCACATCTTCCCTCCTTTGCCTTATAAAGACACTATTCATTGAATTTATGGCCCAAATGTCTAACTCCTTGACTTAATTACAACTCCAAAGATGTTTTTTTCCTAACAAGGTCATGTTCTTAGACACCTGGGGTTAAGACTGGGCTATATCTTTGGGGAGCCATAGAACCCACTGCGGTCACTAAGAAATGATAAGGCTAGAGCTCACGCCCAACTCTTTCTAATTGTAGCAGTCTAAACACTCCCTGGTCATGGTTCTGTGGTGATCCCAGGGGAACTAGAACAAGCTATTCTGGACACAGCTGCATGAGAACAAGTGTTTCTTCTAGGGTCTTCTTTTCCTGAGAGAAAATGCTTATTTCTGACTCTTCCCGTAATTTATCAAGATTCAAATGAAATCTGAAAGTTTCTCTGCTCTTGTAAACTCCGGGTTCTTCTGAAATTCCTTGGGAAGTGTGTGGGTGGCTGTCCTGATGCTTTATATGATTTGCATTGTCACTTTTCATATGATGAGTTTAAACTGTCCTGAGAGTTGTCACACCCTGTAACAGAACTTTCAGGAGCAATGCCATAAACACCATAAAGATGGTGTTTGGGGCGGGGGGGATTGTCCTAGTTCACTTTCAATTGCTGTGATAAAAACACTGAACAAAACCAACTTGAGGAGCCCATGTTCTCAACAGATTAGTTATTCATGACTAGAATTCTAATGGACTCTTCCAGTGGGTCAAAAGTCTCAGTCTTAAAAGAAATAAAGTTGATAAGTGATTGAATTGTGGCAAATATTAGGGTATTTCCAAATGCCCAGAGCTGGTATATTCTTCAACGGTCCGTTTTTGCTTCCTTTGATATAGAATTAAATGTTTTCAGCACATGATGCCAAGTAGTAAACTAACAGACAAACGACTAATGTGCACTAAAACATACTGTGTATAACGCAAGCACTGAAGAGGGTGACTGTTGCATGCTGCAGCCCCTACAGGTGCTTGACACCTCACAGGCTTGCTTTTGTTGAACATTTCTGTTTGTTCATCCACTTGTATTTTCTCATATCAGTATCTTCAACGGTGACATCATCTGTGATAACAAAGCAAACAAAGTGAGTCCATCAGTTAGCTGGGTTTGGTGGGAATCCCAGCACTTGGGAGGCTAGGGCAGGAAGATAGCCGTGAGTTCAAGGTCAGCTGGACTATATTGGTTAGTTCCAGCCCAACTTGGGCGGCAAAGTGAGGCCCTATCTCAAAAAACAAACAACAAAAATTGAATACGTCCTTTAATCGCAGCACTTGAGAGGTAGAGACTGACAGATCTCTGTGAGTTCAAGGCCAGCCTGGTCTACATAGTGAGTTCCAGGTCAGCTGTGGCTACAGGGAGACCCTGTCTCAAAAAGACCAAAAAAAATTTTTTTGAGTAAGTCCATAACAATCAAGACTGAAGTAGTGATAACGGTCTATTTCATGACTTCCCAGTGAAATCAGAACCTGGGGAGACAGAGGAAGGAAGTAGGAACAAAGAGCTTTATCAGCAAAAGGTGGCAAGTTGGAAGATGGAAATTCTTGTCAAAAAGAAAAATAAAGGGAAATCTTCCTTAAGCGTTGCTGGGGGCTAGGGCCTGGGGGATGGAGCAAAGTGTTCATAAATCCCACAGTGCTAAGCTTTTCTGGCACACACACACTGCTGTTATCTGAAGATCACCCAGTTCTAAATTCTATAACTCAAAAGTTTCTGATTAGAAAGTTCCTTCTTTAAGGAACAGCTAACCTTGAAGTTACCCTTATGATATAGAACAAAAGGAGCTAGAGGGATGGTTCAGAGGTTAAGAGCACTGATTGCTGTTGCAAAGGACCCGGGTTTGGTTCCCAGCACCACACGGTAGCTAACAACAGTCTGTAACTCCAGTTGCACGGATCTGATGCCCTTGTCTAGCCTTACATGCACAGATGGATTTACACACATACACACAAAACACTCATATCCATAAGAGAAAAATAAATAGAATGTTTTAAAGATACAGAACAAGGAAAGAGCATAAAAAGGCAGCTTTCTCCAGAGAACAATTTTAGCCGATGATGGGGCTTCAGTTAGAGCAAAAGCAAAGCCAGTGGAAGACTAATAATATATTATTCAACTATGTAACATCTACAATTGGTGAGTTTTAAAGTCCACTAAAAGATGAAGCTAGAAGCTTTACTTAGGTTTCCCTCTGTTATGCAACTAGTTCTTGGCTCTGCCCATTCTCTGTTCTTCTAACAGCTTACAGCTTACCAACACTTTCTACACATGCTGTATCGTGATCTGATATTCATCATAACCACCTGTCATAGGTACAGCAGTATATAATAAAGCCATTTTTGCAGTGGAGGACATGATGGCATTGGGTCAAGTCCCTTGACTATGCCAGTACTGCTAATAAGGTAAGAAATTGACGTTTGAACTGATTTCATACGACTCCAATCCGGACATCTTTCCATTGTACCTTTTGCCTCTAAAAGCTAGGGTTATCATTAAGGGACAGCTTCAAGTGAAGAAGAGCTACTAAACCCAAAGGAGTGTCCAGGTACCTTGGGTTAAGATCAGCAACAAAATAGGAATGGAACCAACAGTCATGGCAACTGTGGATCTCCACTCTGCTCACATCCCCATCAACACCACTTTCTTCCATTTCCTGCAAGTCCCCACCAGTGTTATCACTGAGAAATCAAATAGTATCAATCCCCAAGTATAAAGAAATGCAAAAGATAGCTATGATGATGCTCACTTATAATTCCAGCACGTGGGAGGGTAAGACAGGAAGACCACAAGTTCCAGGCCAGCCTTGACTACATAGTGAGATCCTAGCTCAATAAACAAAAAAAGGAAACAAAAAAGAAGAAAAACACACACACAAAAAAAAAATACAAGAGGAAGCAGTGCTGAACAATGTTGACTCAGTTTTGGAAGATAACATTCGTACATCAGGTACTTTTTTTGTTTAAGAGTACTTAGAAGATAAAGGTAACTCAAAAAGTAACACAGTAAGATAAATAGATGCGTAACCAGGGGAGGGTAAGAAATGTAGGAGCTCAAATCCAGAAAGAAAAACTGAGACAAAAATATGCAGGAAAGGCTTTTTAAAGAAAGAATACAAGAACATATACCGGTTGAAAGGAACCCAACCAGTCTCAAAATGAATAAAAAAGAGCCCAACCCACAGCACCTCATCATGAAATCTAGAATTCTTGTTATAGAATATCCTAAAAGCTTCCACAAAGGAAACACAATCACCTATGAACAACTGAAAATGAGCATGACTTTGAACTATAAGCTAACATCTGCTGGAGAAACAACCTTAGAATGGGGCTAGGATAGGAAGCAAATCTGTCTGTGACATACATGGAATTAAGACATTTTCAGAAGCATGGTAACTGGAGAAAGACAATTTCTTACGTATGCTCTCAGAAAACAACACAGGATACAACTAGTTAAAGGCATAAGAAGAAAAAGAAAGGATAAATCCAGGAAGAAATCTATTCCTGGGACAGTGGCAAAGAGGGACCCCAGGAAGCAAGGGTAGTGCCTACCTGGGGAGGGTAGGACACCCCATCTTCTAGTAGGAAGAATTAGAATGTCAAGAGGAAGCTCCAGAGGAAGCACTGCAATCAATTAATCAGCAGAGGGTTTTGAGTATGTCTTCCAGATTGCATAGTCCATTCAGGAAGAAAAAAGGAGTGATGTAGAAAGAAAAACAAGTATTCAAAGAGAAGCAAATATTAACTACAGTGTTAGAGGGCATGCAGGCAAGAAGTATATTCTCCACTGCCTTGCTATAGATAATACTCATAAATTAAAATTTCCACTAAAAAGGCCACACTTATTATAAATAGTCTACAAGTTTGATAAATTGATTGGAACTTCTGTGAGTATGTAGAATTACTATCTTGGGCTTTAACCCCCTTCATGGCTATTCACTGTCCACACCTGGGTTCAGCCTGACATCTTTGTGACTATTAGATAAGTCCTTTTGAAATCTCCAAACAGACCCCTCGCTTCCACTAACCCAAAGGTTAAGAATGTCATGTGACAGCATCTGCGGCCTAAAGCAGAGATTTCCCTACTTTGCTATTACCCACCTACATGATTCCACCAACACATCTGAAAACTGTCTTGCTTTATGACTGTCTTTTGATTTCTTACTATAAAACTTCATGAACTGTTATCATGTTGGAATATGGCATTGGAGGTAACCTTAATCCATGCTCCCGGGCCATGATCCCTTATATTTGGCTCCAGAATAAACGATCTTTTTCCCTTTGAGGTATAATTTGTTTGTTTGGTTGGTTGGTTGGTCTGGTTTGGTTTGGTTTTTTTTGTATCAACACACCTGTAATATATTGGTCATTGCCTAAGTGTTTGCCTTCAGAGAGCAGAAATAGGATAGAAATATTGACTGTGAAGCAAGGAACCATAGTTATTCGTGTAGCAAGAGAAAAAATAGTTTTGACCCTAATTTTCCTGAGTGTAACAGTGGTTGTTCCTTTGAGAAGTGTCCTGGGCAGAACTGTTTCAGCTTCTCCCTTTGCCTGGCTTCCTAACTTTTAAAGAAAGGAACCACCTAATTGGAAAAAGTTATTCACTGCTAAATAGCATTTCCTTGGGTAACCCAGGATATCTTGTGGCCTGCAGATAACATCAGAATGCTTAATACCCCTCCGAATTCTTCAATTCTGAGCATCAGTTACTACAAAGCATGGAAATTTCTGTGATGTTTAACTTGCAGAAAGTAATATTTAACCCCAAAAGGTCAAAGTCAATTTTGATAATCAAACCAGGGCGTGGGGGGGTGGGAAGTCACACACCCTGGAGACTGATGACCTCGATAAGCATGGTCTTCCTGCCTATTGTTCCTGCTGCTTTCCCTCCCTGTAAAAGTCCATTGTGTCAGGAACTTCTCCACGATAGGACATCTTGTCAGGATACAGGTGTGAATAAAACTGATTCTTTTCCCATCAACTCTAGCCTCCCCCTCACTGGCCTTTGGGTAGCAAACAACTGGACTTGGGTCTGGTAATATGAATTTTTACTTGGGATGGAAGCCTCTACCAAATAAAAAGAGGAAAAAATAACCAGGTATCTTTTCACGTGTACACCTCATATATAAATACACAGGAGGCAACCAGGAAATGAGTAATTCTTAGTAGTAAATCTCAAAGAGATGGCTTTGACTCGGTAAAGGAAAAAAGAAAGGCTGTGGGAAAGGCTGGTTTGGGGAAAATGACCAGGAAAAGCACATGAGCAAAAGAGAGGTTTGTTATAGAAATGTAGGTGAACGAGGTCCCCCTGCAGTGATGCAAATTTCTATCATTTTTCTCTTGGTAGTAAAGACAGAAAAACACCTTCAATGATTTCCTTTACTGGGGTCTTTTAGATAGATCCACTGAGGAGGTACCCAAGTTGCCACGCTATGTGCCTCTATTCAGCACGGAAGAAGCCAGAAAGACCAACGTGCAAATCCCCTATTGGCAATTAGAGTTACCTCTTCAGAGGGAGGAGTAATGAAAGTAGGAGGCCAAAACTGGCTAGGTAGTTTAAGGTGAAGACCCCAAAAGAACAATGACTAGTTTCTTTCCAGCTGAGACCTGGAAATTCCCTTGAATCTGGGAGTAAGCTTGTCCCTACCTAAGCCTAGGGATGTCAGAACCATCTAATTCAAAAATATCTCTAGTTCCACTATAGCTAGAGGCTAGGGAGGTCAGTAAGGGGTTCTGGTTTTTTCCATACCTCTTTCTTTTTCCTAAAGATCCTGTTCCTAGAAAACACACTGAGGACATGACCAGAACCTCAATGAACCTGGACACCTGGAATGAGGACTGGGCTGACCAGCTCATCTTCCCATCCCCTCCTTGTACTATGCTTAATTAACTGTCATCGCCTAAAGATTCTTACAGAATCTCCTGACTGAGCAGCCCATATGATTGCCCAAGCCAAGACCTGAGACCAAGTTAAGGCTATGTTCTTGCTCTATGCCACCTGAGAACTCCTTCCCAGCTAAAAGAAAAAGGACGCCCCCATTCTGTTTTTTTGTTGTTGTTGCTTTTTTT